TGGCGCTTCATCATAGCGGACGTCCTCGTTCCTATAATCGGCATTGATTTTCTGCAATTCCACAAAATACTGGTAGACGTCAGAAATAGGAAACTTGGCCTTGCCAAACAGAGTAGAGAAGTTAGAGGAAGTATATCAAATGAGACTTCCATACTTTATTAGTTAAACCTCATCACGAGAGCGACAAATACATCAATTTACTTAATCAGTTCCCAGACTTATTACGACCGAGTTTCAAACAGGGCAGCCCGACACATACCGTCGTACATCACATAAAGACAAAGGGACCATCAGTGTTTGCACGTTCAAGATGCCTTGACCCCTCTCGTCTCGCTCTCTCAAAGAACGAATTCAACAGAATGATAAAATTGGCTATCATACGCCCCTCCAATAGTCCATGAGCATCATCGCTCCATATGGTACCCAAGTAAAACTCTTCAGAAGTTAGTCCTTGCGGTGACTATAGAGCTCTCAACGGTCGGACCGTACCAAATAGATACTCTCTCCCACATTTTCACCATTTCACTCATGGCCTATCTGATGTGACGATTTCTTCAAAGGTTGATCTCGTCTGTGCCTACCATCATATTCCAATTTAACCAGACGATATTCCCAAAACAGCTATCACTAACCAATTAGGGCTATACAAATTTGTCCGTATGCCTTTTAGACTAAGTAATGCTGCGCAAAGTTTCCAGAGTTTTATTGATCAAGTGGTACGGGGCTCACCGTTTATATATGCTTACATAGATGACAAACTTATAGCAAGCAAAGATTAAAATGAACATCTAACTCATCTGAAAATTCTTTTAGAGAAGCTAAACGACTATGGGTTGGCAGTCAACCCTGACAAATGTTAGTTCGAAAAACAATCCTTCACCATTTTAGGTCACATACTTGATAATCAAGGCATTAAACCAGATCCTGTGGAAGCACATGCTATCAAAAATCATCCTTTACCTGATTCATTCAAGAAACTACGACGTTTCCTTGGGATGATCAACATTTACAGACGTTTTGTCCCTAAATGTGCAGACTTAGCAAAACTGCTGACTGATTTACTAAGGGGACGAACTAAATCATTAGCAATGACACCACAAGCAATTCAAGCATTTGACCAGTTGAAGAGCGCTTTAAGCTCAGAGGCATTGCTCGCACGACGAAAGGTTGATACACCATTAGCAGTAATGACCGACGCTTCTAATTTAGCAGTAAGTGCTGTACTTCAGCAACGTGTCAATCAACAATGGAAACGCCTTGCATTTTTCGCAAAAAGCTAACCTCGAAACAAACAAAATATAGCACGTTCGGTAGAGAACCGTTGGCTATCTACTTAGCCGTCAAACACTTTCGCCATATGTTAGAAGGCAATTCTTTCACGATATATAATGATCACAAACCTCTAACTACGTCCTTGATGCACAACCATGATAAATGCAGTCCGCGCGAAATTCGTCAACTAGAATTCATTTCACAATTTGCAGCTGATATACGCTATAATAAAGGCAATGCAAATCAGGCAACAGATGCACTATCGAGAATAAATATCAATACCTTCTCGATCCCTTATATAGACTATCAAGAAATGGCAAAGCATCAATAGCTCGATACGGAGCTACAAAAACTTTTGCAGTCTAAGGAAACGAAATTATTATTTTACAACATCCCAATAAACAGCAAGGACACCTTAGCTTGTGATACCTCAACAGGTAAAACTCGCCCCCCTGTATCTTACGGTATGAGACGAAACAGTTTTGAGAAATTACACAATATATCTCATCCAGGTATAAAAGCCACTGTAAAGGTTGTCACAGATAGATTTGTATGTCCAAACATAAACAAAGACGTACGAAAATGGTTACGGGAATGCGTCGAATGCCAAAAGCCAAAAGTACATGGGCACATCATATCCCCTACAGGAATTTTTCCCGCCGCTAGCGCTAGGTTCGACCACAC